TTTTAAAGTAATCAAAATGGTGTCTTGATGGAACAAAAGTTCTGGGGTATTTCATATTATGTATCATTCACGCTTGTGAAATGTTAAGAAAAGTATTTAAGTAGCTTGCTTCTATTTTAATTTTGTTATTTTTTAAAGAAATATTTTCCTATGAGTGATTGAAATATTCAATGTTAAGTTTATTACATAGTGTAGACAAGAATACTGAAAAATAGTCTCAAACTCAACTATGTACCCACAGACTGAAATACTGTCTGTGACTTGAAAGATTATTAGATGGGCATAAACAGCAGCAACAGAAGCGAGGCATGTAACTAACATCTTTGAGAAATTTAAATTAGAAGTGAGATTTTTAAAAAATGATGTCAGAAAAGTTCAATATCAGGTATCTGTTTTCTTTACCTACTCTGAATGAGAATCACAAATATTATCCCTATCTGTATCAATCTAAAGTAAGTATTAGAAAAAATATCTTTCCCCCCCTTTTAAAAGCACTCAATGGGCCTTTTGCTAATGACCCACTGAACCATCAAGAAAGGGCAGAGCAAAAACACTGCTTTGGGTGAAGTGGCAGTGTGTTGTGTTGTTCTGCTTCAATCGGTGGTGTGACAAGGAAAAAAAAAAATCTTTCCATTCAGTAAATTTCATCTTTCGGAAAGACAGTAGAAAACTTTACAGTCTATTTCACTTCATAATACTTTTGTATTACTTTTTTTATAACACTTTTTTAGAGCCATGATTTTTTTTAAAAAAATTCATTTATAACTTATACACTCTCTATGAAATATGCTAACGGTTTTATATTCCAGTATCGACTGTCCTTCCATTTCAGCTCTTTGGATAGCCAGCACTGAATGCATTCAATATAAATTTAAGAAGAGAGAGAGAAAGAGAATAATGCAGCTGTATGAAAGTGTGAATCGACCATGAATTTAAAACCACCAACATAAAATGATTGTTTGCACTTCACTGCTGAAAATCTGCAGCTTTTTACTTGACTCCTTTATGTTACAACCTGGGGAGCAAATTTTTAGAATTGATTATGATACATTATGAGCTGTTCACCTTGAGATCAGACTGTAATTTTGACAGCAGCAGTTCACAGATAGTGAAGAAAGTTGAATGGAAACTTTTGTACAAACAGCAGAAACTATGAGCACAAAGTGAACTACAACTGCCAAAGGTCAAGTTAGAATTTATGAGAGAGTAGAATCATTACAGAAGAAATATAAATAAATAGACAAATAAGTAGGTACAAAAAAGAAACATAGGTAACATACAATGAATGATTAGACACAAAAAAAATTAGACAAAAAAAGGAAGAAAGAAAACAAAGTAAAGAGAGGGAGAGAAGGAAAGAGGGAGGGAAGGAAGGCAAGGGGGAGGTGAAAGAGAAATAGGGAGGGAGGCAGGGGAGGGAAAGCTGCCACAAAAACAGGGGTTTAAGACAAGGCGAGTTGTATTGATTGAGAGGATTTCTGCCATGTGTACCTTCTATTACCAATCTAAAATTTTCCTCAATAAACTGTGTGTATAATAAAAAATAGTAGTGTGGAGTATTTTCCCAAGCCCTATGACTATAAAGGTAGATAATCAAACTGCTCTCTGTACTTTAAGGAGAATGCATCCAAGAATAGATATGTTCAGTCATAAGCTACAGAATGAAAACATAAGCACAGTATCTATATTTCTACTATTTGCATAGATCTGATATTTGTATCAAAAAACAAGCTCAGAAAAAAAATCAAAACAAAAATAATTAACTCAGTATTTACTTTTTTTCTTTGGTCCAATCTGGGATTACCAAGGGATGTTTTACTTTTATTTTCATCCTTTCCTCAATACAACATGATCACTCTTTCACAGAACTTACCCCTTGCCAAGAAAGATGGCACAATCCAAATACCATGCAGATGAGAGAAAACAAGAGATAAGCATGTTTATATTACAAAGAGAAAACAATTCTGAAGTCAACAGATGGATCTCTGGGCAGTTCTGCCAATAGGGAAAGTTGACAGTGTCTAATCTTTTGAATGTATGATTCTCTGAAGTACCATGTCACAATCAAATGACACTAAATGCTTGTTTAGTATTAAGAATCATTTCCTACACTCCTATAGCTGTATCTGGCTATTACGCAAGAAATGTATGATTCTCTGAAGTACCATGTCACAATCAAATGACACTAAACGCTTGTTTAGTATTAAGAATCATTTCCTACACTCCTATAGCTGTATCTGGCTATTACGCAAGCTCCCAAAGGGAAGTATCTAAATGCAGTAATCTTAATTAGTTCAATTGCATCTTAATTTATGTGATATTTTTGCAAAATATATAAAGTAAGAAATAACCATAGTACATACAGTACAACTGCACCATATGCCACACACACACACATACACACGTGTGTGTGTAATAAAATTGAGCTTTATTTTCATGTGTGTAATAAAATTGAGCTTTTTCCAGTACATAGTCCAAAAATTTAAAGTAAAAAAATCTTAAATTCATAATCAATGCATTTCTAAGCATTGTTTCTAAGTATTGCCATAAGAGAAAAACAGATAAATCATAAGAAAATTCTATATCATAATATAAAAGATAACATAAGACAATATTTCATTATTAATAAAATAATTTTATAGACTTGTTTATTATTAAAAAATTAATATACATTAATGTACATATATATGTATAAATCTTTTGAATTAAAAGCACTAACAAATGTCATTTTATTTTATTTTATTTTTCCTTTTTGTCTTTTTTCATGACCGGCAACGGATCGCAACCNCGGGAGCGCCGCCGCGCTCCCAAGCAGCGCACTGTAGCAGTGCGCCACCGGGCCGGCCCCACAAATGCCATTTTAATCTTATCCTTTGCCCTGCAGCCATGGGTGTGAAATCTATGATTATATCAACAACTTAACTACTTCTGATTTTAGAATTTTATATAATTA